GAGCGAATAGGCGTTAAATAGATGTGCGGGCTCCATCGTCGACCTCGTCGTCGCTTTCCAAATGCGCTCTTTTTTATGTTTAAGTATAAAAAACGATTTAATAAATAACAAGTAGTTTATTTCACTTTAAATTACAATTTAAATAATTCTAGTTAAGACAGATAAGTATTCAAATGCCAATCAATACTAAAGAAGGTGAATGAATTATAACACAAGCTAGTTGACACTATTATCAGCACACCAGTGACTTCGCATTTTTGTACACTAGCTAGTTTACACTAGTGTAGGTACATTAAGCCAGTGTAAAAGCCCCTTGATTCGTCGATACCGCGCGTGCCTAAATATTACAACAATATTAGTGAAACCAAAACAATGGCCAGCACGCCTGCCTTACCTACTCAGCGCACACCGTTAAAATATCGCTGTCGCCACCGAAAACGTGACACGTGGAAATAATTTTGGCAATAATTTATACAAGCTTTAAAATGTCAGGTAGCTTTGGTAAGTAAATCGAAAATCAACAGGTTTTTTTAAAGACTTGTAGATCAAATTACATCCATCAAATATATTCGTATGATAAACATACACATACCGTACGTTTTTTTTATGATAACAAATAACGGGTCGAAGAAGTCGAACGCCTGGTGGTAAGCAGCACGCATGTTCATAACAGTTGCAGTGCCACTACGAGCTTTAAATCGCCAAGACCTGTGGGACACTATTCCACTGCACCCGTCTCCCTGAGATATAAGTTGACAAGTCCCATGTGCCCTATAATTTCACCAGCACCCTTTTCCTTCAAAACCGGAACGCAATAATGCTCACATAACATCTTGGCAGCAGAAATAGGAGGTGGCAGTCCTTCCCGGGAAGAATTCTTTCACAAGGAGCTCCACTGCTATTAAAACACGCACTTAAACATGGGCAATGTTAATATCGCATGTAGGTACTTCAATCAATCCGATGACTACGTTCGTAAATCGTTTGTTGTATTTAAAAAAAATATATACTTAATTCTGTATGATTTGTTCCAGATGCCTTTGTTTCATTAGAACACTGTGGACTAACACAGCTGTTTAGAAAAGGTTTCTTAAATTACTTTAGTGATTCTTATCTATTTCTTGGTTATTTAACTGTCACGTATTCGGTAAAAGTTACATACTAAAATCTAAACTACTAAATACTAAAACAAATTTGAATAACTGAGGAGGTTTGAATGCTCTTTGACGCATGGAATGGTAAATGAAACGGTAAGGGTGTTGGTGAAATTACAGACATATGGGACTTGTCAACTTTTGTCTCAGGGTGACGGGTGCGGTGGCAGTGCCCCTCAGATCTTTGGGATTTAAAGCTCCGAGTGCACTGCAACTGATATAGACCAGCGTGTCGCTTATAACCAAGATCGCAACTTGTTTGTCCTGTCTCTTAGTATCGTAAAAAAATCCCCAATCATCATTAGGTCGGCGTGATAGACCAAAATCTAAACGCTCTCTCGTTAGGGGAAACCGGTCCCAGACCCAAGAGGGTTGATGATGACGACGATGTGATGAAGTAGATACGTATCAGCAACTAACATTCTCATTAGCCTGAATCAATTGTAATGAAGTAAGTAGGTGCCGACCACAGACTGTACCTACAATTTAAGTAGGTACAATATAAATAGCATACCGGCCTCTCCTTCTTCTTGTGCTTATGGATGCTGGTCGTATACTGAATAGCATTGCCCAAAATCAGTCTTGGTCTTAGTCTTGCAAAAACGTAAGACCAAAACCAAGACCAAGTCCAAATAAATGTAAGGTGCAAGGTTTGTACAAGAACAAGACTGAGTCAAAAAAATCTGCAAGACGCAAGAGTCTCTAAGATTTTGTTTTTAGATTTTTATTGTTATTTTTTTCATTTTTATTGTTTTTTATTTATTTATATATAATGCAAATAGAATTACATATACATCAAACAGTATTTTATAAACTTAAAATAGGTTTTTTCAAATACCGTTTTTCCAAATATTTATGTACAGTCAATGGCAAGTCAACCATCAAAAACTTTAAAAAAATTATTTATTTGATATTGAAGTCTATGACTACTCGATGACGTCATGAAAATGCAAGATGACTCGTTAGTGTTGCCGTGCACATTTTGACGCTGTCTTATTCTCTACTACATGGAAAAATATTTTTAAATTATAGTTTAAAGAATAGTTATTAATCGTAAAACTTTTTACGACACCAGTCATCGTCAATCATCATGATAAATGCGGTTCACGATAATCGGCAATATTATTACTTAATATTTATGAATTAGCAATAGGTAATTACAAGACTTGCGAGACTCTTGTAGCAAGACCAAGACTGAATTTGCAATATCAAGACCCATACCAAGTCCAGGTATACTGACGCAAGACCAATACCAACATTGAGTTAGTCTCGTCTCGGCCTTGCCTTTGGGCAACACTATGATGATGAAGTCTACTTTTCTAATACTAACTCAAAGTATTTGTATCATTCTTAACGGACTTACAAATCATTTAAGCTTCATAAGAGCACTAAGTATTATACTAATGATGGTAAAGCCGGTGTATATTAAACGAACGATCCGGTCCAGATGCTTTACGTGTTTTATTACACGGTGATTACCAATAAAAAATCATTAACAATGATTTCTAGTCACTCTACACGTGCGTCTGTCATAGCTGACAAATCTGACAATAAATCATAACTCGGCAATAAAACTTTTTGTCACCGTCTGTCGTTCAATCTCCCTTTAAACCCTTTTCTAATTAAAATCTGAGAACACATCTATAATAACGCAAGGAACTGATTTATTATCGCTCATTTTGACTCTTGAAGTTTTATGTTATGTGGAAATTAATTTCCGCGTGTTTACGGAGGTAATCTTTGTTCTGTACTCAACAAACTGAAAAAAAATCTATTTTATTTTTAAATTACCGTGTGCATAACAGCACAACATTATTATGAGGCGGAAACAACATAGATTAAAAGTTTTAGTATAACGAAACTTAATTCTTCGTATGTAGTCGTTATGAGTTACGCCGAAAATAAAAATAATACACCTAAGTTCATGATGTATCAAGTAGCTTAGAGCAACCGAAGTGCCAGAGAAACGCGAGTTTTATCAACGTTTGTCAGAGGCCGAGATGTTACTAACCAGATGCCGCGGCCGCCACTGCTGCGCGGTGGGTCTCATATAGACCCCGCTCCCTTTATAGCTCACATACTTGTATAAAAGTTTCAAGCATTGTACTGCGCTGCGCTTAATTTATTATATGGATTTATTATCCATAAAACACGTATCATTAGCTAACCGCGTCAACATCAGTATTTCCTTCTTCAAATGTTCATACTTCAGCAATTTATGTACCAATTGGCAGAGATTTATAATACCTAGTTACTGTCTAAGTACCTACATGTAACTTTTATGAAAATTGCAACTGACAAATCAGAAACATAATTTAATTAAAAGCTTGTATATTATAAGCATAGCAATAATTTTATAGCTCGTAGCATTTCTTATTCCAAATCTCCGTTTCAAACGCCACATAATCAAATTCTGGCTAGTAAAAATATTGGTTTGTAGAACTCGTTCCCGGTAATAAACAAGGAAGCCGCTAGAGTTTCGGCGAAGCCCGAGGTAATTATTGCTCACATATTATTGCTTCCCGAGAGTAATCCGTTAGAAATCGATCGCGTTTTAGTGGCGTGTCAGTGTTGGAAAAAAACATAATTTATTGTCCGCATTGAGATCGCGAGGAAACCCGAACAGCGGTAGAAAATAAAAAAGTAATAAAATAAGAGAGGTTTACGAGTGTAAAATGACGTGAGGCCACTCGGCCTGTTTGTCGACACGTACCACTGTTTACCAATACATGCTCCAAGAGCATTTCTTGGACTGAGACTTACAATCTTACGAACTGAAAACTTTTAAGAAGGCCAATGTGAAGCTCCTTAAATTGCGTTTGCCACACTGGTCTTCACTATTTTTATTTGATTCAGTCATAGTGAAACACATATGTACAGTTTTAAAATTAGATCCTGACGGCGATTTCGTAAGATTTAAAAAGTACGTGTATATACCAGATTAGGCAAATATAATTTATCCACATCAAAATCCGGGATAAAACAACATACATGCAAAAGTTTCACTTAAGCATACCTACCTTAATATTAGTGGATTGATCATATACACCTCTTGTATTTGACTCCTAGCTTTCAAATTTTTTCGAACAGCTTTATAGGCACTACAAAGGGTTAAGTCATTGTATACAACGACGCACTGGAGAAGTCGTAATTTATTTTGTTTATAGTCGTCGCCTGATGGCTTTGGTTGCCTTGTAATTATCGCGCGCGCACGCCGAAAGCTAAACCAATTTGACTTGCGCCCGCGCCGCCCGTCAAGTGCGCATTTTCGATTGTTTATGTCAACATTAGCTTTTTGTTTCACCGTGACTTGGGCCTAATCTTAAACTATTTACAACTCTTATGTATTGTATCAATATGGGAGCTAATTTTGTAAACCAACTTTCGGCTCTTATACCTAAGTTTTGAGTTTTGAAATGTTTGACACGATGTTAAGGTTCCGCTTTATTTTTTATTGTTTAAAGACTTCTACAGTCTCCCCATTTCTGAAGATGACGTGATAAGTTTCTGTTAGTACAATTTCTTTTGACGACGCTTAATGCAAGCATCATCAGAAGAAACGAAAGATGGAAAGAAAGGTTTAAAAATATATACGTAGTATTTTGACAACTCTGGCATATAATAAATTATGCACTATTAATAAATTTATTAACCAGGCTTTTTAATGTCAATAGTTTCAGTCAATTTGAATTTTTTTTCAGACTGTCTTATCTTATAAGTGCCTTAGAATTGAATGTTAAGTATAAAGAGAGACCTACCATTGTTGTCCGTATCTACTGTTAGCAGTATAAAACTAGTGATTTATACAATGATGTCGGTATTATTAAATGTTAGTTTGTTTGACAGGGGTGGCGGTTGCATGAGGCGCAAGCATGTAAAGAGGCCGATGAACGCGTTCATGGTGTTCGCGCAGGCAATGCGCCGGCGCCTTTCAGAGCAGCGACCCTCGCTACACAACGCTGAGCTTAGCAAGTCGCTTGGATCTATGTGGAAGTAAGTGGAAATGTGCTTTCTATGCAATACTGCGTACATACTCAGATGTGAGACTTGATGCTAGAAAGTCATTACTGACAATATCTAACATCTCCTATTCAACACAGTATATACCTGCACTAATAATCTTGCTTTCATATTTGAGACCGTAGTTGCCCATGACGTGGTTGTTTCGTTGCACATCAAAGGACATAGGTACCTCTTACTATCTAAAGGTATCTATCTAAAGACACTTACGGGATGTTTGCAATAATTTATTGATAAATTATTGTATAATTTGAGAATTCAGTTCTTTAAGAATCGTCACCACCAGAAAAGAAAGAGGCCGTGAAAGTAAAGGGAGCGTTGCGGGAGAGGGGCAAAGGCGGAGCTGCGCGTGCGGCATCCAGCAGCGTTCGTGCATCGATTGTTTACTCATTAAAATGCTATCACCGCTAACTGTGCCGATAACATCTCTAACTGTCTCTGGTTCATTCGGCCGCTCTCGAATAAAAAATTGTTGAAACCAATTCGCGTGACACGAGAGAAACAGGATCGTTCGTCCCAATCACGATGATTAAACGTTTTCGCTATTAAACTCTATCACAAGATGCACATCACTTAGCGTTTAATTTTCTCTTATAAAATTGTCTTCTTCAATTTTGATGGAAAGTTTACCAAACAAGATTCATACTTTTTAATTATGTAAATTTCAATCAACATGATATTTTCTGTATTAGGCACCTGTGCTGGATTATCGCTGTAGGTTTATAGCTAAGCCAGTCGCAGAAACATTACACCATCTATGTATGCTAACTGGATGTCGAAACTAGTGTATTGCATCAAATGTTGTAACAGAGTCTTAGGCCACCCGCATACTCGGCGCTTGGCCGGTCCAGTATTATGACATGAGAATGACGTGTCGGAGCTATGCGGGCGAACCCTCGAATCATCAAAGAAAACAGTCGGTGAAGAGAGGCTGATTGCAGTGTTATGATTGGTCGGCACTCTAGGACTGTCATCGCGCCCGCACCGCTGCTGATCTTAGATTAGCAAGGGCAAAGGTCTCGTGGACTGCACAGCTTATCGATACCGACATACTAATATCCTCATTTAAATACAAATACCACATCTTTATACAAATACCTAGCTATAAATTATATAATATAATCCGTGTATACTTTCAAAAGTAAACTCCGAGAGCACATTTTAATACTGCAAAATACACCTGGAGAAATTTTATTTGTATCTACACCGCACCGAGAAACATAAAATACACGAAGACAGAGTGAACTATTTGAAAACGCTGTAGGCATATGGCAATTTTATTTTTCTAAACGAATTAAGTTACTTATACATATGTTGTACTTATTTTAATTCGCATCCACATTTTCTATTTTCTTTTTAATTTTATTTGTAATTTTTTATATTTAAATCGGCCACTTCGAAAAGGTTCTACTGAAAACCAACGCTGTGGCTTCGCCACAGTATTTGCCGAGTTGGGCGCTTTTCAGTGCACAGCATAAAATCATAATATTGTACTTGTAACATGTATTTTCTTTCTTTCTTTCTTAATTACAATACTACGTGTCGTTTCGTTTGTGTCTAGTAAATAAGTCTTCTAATTTTTTGTTAGCACCAACGGAAAACACTGATTCATTAAACTAATTCCACTTTTTGAATATTTCTACCCTGGAAATGTTTAAAAAAATTATTTAAACAGGAAAAGAACAATATTTCATAAGCGAGCAGCTGTAAAAATTAGCAGTGTTATCCTAATGATATACGTGTAGGTAATTATCGAGGTCAAATGTAAATTTTTCCAAGTCGGAGACGAACATAAATTATCTGTAGGAGCACTAATTATAACAGTGGCAGACGGCGACCAGACGCATATAATACGGTCACTGCGCATCTTATAAACAATCTGGAATGTCGCGCCGACTAAAAATCTGCCCCCGTTAGTATTCTATGCTCGTTTAGATTTAGTAAGATACCCACCCTAATTACCTATCCATGACTTCGATAGAGAAAGTGATCTCATCATATTATATCACCTAGTCAAAGTCAAAGTCAAATAATCTTTATTTCATATGTCAAAATTACATCTGAAATCGTCATACTGATTAAAATCTACAGCTCATTCGTAAGGCAGATTCCCTTGAAAAGAATGAGCAAGTAACTCGAAGGGTTACTCTTTTTAAATATACATTTAAGTACATTTATCATTACAACATTTAATTTAAACATCTTAGATCGAGACTACCTGCAAGAGCTAAACAGGTCGCTAATACGGATTTTTGTCGTCCAAGTATTCAGAAGCTGTATAATAAACCTTCAGTATAAAGTTTTTGTTTGTGTGTGTTTTAAACCTCTCTGTCGAGAATCATTCTGGCAATAGATACTTATAATTATAGCTTTCGGTAAAAATGTTATTTTTATGTAGGTACTCGATGCTGTGAATATAATGTACCTACAAATCGAATTACACTATAACTCTATATAATCTTATACAATACGTCTACGTGTAGTACTAATATAGAGTAAGTTACAAGCTGACGAGAAGAAGGCGACAACATCTGGAAATAGTCTTGAGATTATATCGCACTGCCTGGCTCGCTTCGGCGCTGGCCGCGGTCAATTAAACTGCACGCTACCGTTACTTACCGACACTATTGACGTACTGACTATTTTTATAAGCGTTACAGTAATCATTTTTACTTGCAAATCTTTCTTTAATTGTCTGATTGCTTACCAAAACCCCAAAGAAGTGATGAGCTTAAGCTAGACAACGAATCTAATAGAGCTAAGCATCAAATTGAATCATTATACTGTCTTAAAGGAACTATTTCTTTCTTTCAGAAGTCTCAGCGAGGAAGAAAAACTGCCATTTGTGAAAGAAGCAAACCAACTGAGAATTCAGCATAAAAGAGAATACCCCGATTACAAATATCAGCCACGGCGGCGCAAACCACCACCCACCTCAACTTCTGCAAGATTGAAACGAGAACCTTCCCCAGAGAGATCTCAAATTGATTTCTCGAGAATAGAAGTAGAGTCTGGAGAGTTGCTAGCAGACGGTCCACCGGATGGTGCTGAATTGGATCAGTATTTGAAGCCAGGTCCAATACCCGATTACCACGAGTTACAGCCTCGTTACACGACACACTCCTTGGCGCACCATCCATCGCAGCTTTACGCACCTGTGCCATCCCATCTGCATCCATCTTGTGCGGACTGGCAGTACCACACTGGGCATCCCTAAATAAGAATGTTGCGTGATTAGAAAGTGTCTAAAAGTTCATCCCTTTCAATGACTGAAACATAATTCGTCTACTTCGAAATCTTAACTAATTAATATGGCGTCATACTAATACTTTAGTTCTTTTTGTGACCTTTTTTAAAGTGTGCTGACCTGACGAGGTCAAAAGAGTTGTTGCAAAATGTTTTTATAACCTACAAAAATAGGTCACATGGCTATTCAGAATTTGTAAATAATATGATGGCACATGGTGGCTTGCAGACGCGCACGTGCGTGTAATCAGGGATGTTATATTAGACAAACATTATCATTGCCATGTTTATAGATTAAAGATATTGCTGTTGAAGTTTGCAGTGATTTAATAATTACTTCAACGAACTCTTATTTGGTTTGTGAATAAAAATTGTATGATATAAACTTTTCCATGTTTCAAAATAGGTACTTTGCATACCAAGTAATATTGTCTCTACATTTTTAGTTGTAGCTGTAAGTATTTTAAGTTGATAATTATTTAAAGAATAGCTATAATTATGTTCCAAAGCTAAAACAAAACTTAGCATTAGGTAAGTTTTTAATGTAAATTACTCTGTAAGTAAGCTCTAAGAAAATAGGACTTAAGATGTCATTGTGATGATTAAGTACATTAAAGTTAATGTTACTGTATCAAAATAAAATACTTGAAATATGTTTTTGTGTTTTATATCTGCAAATAGCTACTTATTTTGCGGACTTGTAAAACTTTGTTTTGTTTTTTTGGGCAATCTCATTTAGTGTTTATTACGATTTATATTTCATTTCATTGGTTAATTTCATGTGACAAGCGTAATACGAACATTCTCAGAAGCGTTATCCTCTTTAGGTATCTGCGATACGCGACCCCTACTGCCCCGGCGCAGGCGACCGGGCAGCGAAGTATGCGCTGCGCGCTTCCGGCGCTCACCCGGCGACCAATGCGCGTACAAAGCCTCTTTATTCTACCCTTATCGAGCAATTTTCGCAGGCTAATGAGGCCACTACATATGTATATCGATTATGTAATTATGCGACTTCAGAAGGCACTCGGCCGATTTATCTCTCCGCCTGTTCTGATGTGCCGCCTGCAGATAAGCAGATGTCATCCCGAGCGTAAGTAGTTGTTTGTTAGTAAGTTATTTATTGAAAAGAACCTCCTTATATCATACTAAAGTAGTTACTTTATGGATGACCTGAGTATTAATTAACCCCTTTAACTAACTAACCCCCTTTGTCATGCCCCTCTCTCCCCTTCTTTTTTCTTCATCTAATAATAGAAAAACATTCTAAAATATCGATACAACTTTTTTCCTTGGAACGTTGACATATTAGCAAAAGATCCTAATTCCGAGATGCTACTAGGAAAACGCGTCAAAATAAGGTCATTATGAAGTTGTAATGGTGCATCATGGTTTGCATTATTAAGATTTAATGCAAATGGAGCTTGTGGCTCGTGCGGCGGCTCGCGTTTCAGACGGACCGACCCAGCAGCGCAGGCACAGTGGCAGGCGTAGATATTGAATACTTTACAGTGGTTTTTGTGCGTCAACACATGAGATATTAATTACTGGGGCGGAGGGCACTACGCTCAATTTTACGCTTTAATCTGCACAACGTCAGTGTGAAGAGGTTTCGATTACCCTTCTCGGTTTTCAACACAATGTGCACAAATAACGAGGGTTTTTTATAAGATCTTAAAACAAATTCATAATAGTTAGGATATTATTATATTAACAAATAAGAGATCGATCTAAATAAAAATAAGTATATCGAAAACTATTTTAAATAAGAAACTATTGAACTCTTAAATCATAAGTAAATAAATTGCATACTGGCATAGCGTTTCTATGTTTGTCACATTTCTTTCAATAGAGTCATTTATACAAAAGAATTCAGTAAAGTCATATGCAATTTGATATTTCTAGTCAAAACAAAAGAAGGGTATTATTATAAAGCATTTTACGTTGCATATGATAGAAACTTAAACAAAATAATAAGCCCCGACAATCTTGTAGCCAGCTCATCAAGTTGCAGTTCAAGTGGACAGAGACAGTTCGTGTGAATCTCGACAGAGAATCGGGCGCAGCTGTAAGCCGACACCGCGGCGTCTGCGCAGCGTCGAAATCAGATCCCGAACCCTAAGCCAGTGCTTACATGTGTGGAATAATGCTAGAAAATTTAAAACAGTACGTACTTATAATACTTGTTAAAACTATAACCAAGAAGAAAATAAGTAAGTACCTACTTGCATCTATTCTTATAAGCAGTACCAGATTTAAGAAAGTATTATCAAACTTAAAACTCAATTCAATTAAAGTGACTCCTTACAAGAGAACTATGCCCAACTGTGTTACTTGTACAAAAACGGTACGTAGCACTACGGATCTCATTACATTTCTTTTCAAAATAGTTCGAAGGACAATAATTTGAACTTGATGTTTTTAAATACTTTATTCCTTTTGTAACAGAAACATTTTTCAGTACTAACAGATCGAGTTCTTAGGTTTTCGCGATTGTTACACATAAGGAAATGAAACTATTTTTCCGGATTTAAATCGCATATATTTGTTTTTTCAAACAAACCGACGTTTCGGGCCCTTTACAAGTCCATTGGTCACGATTGACTGATTTGGTAACTGTACCATTTTATACTAAATCTATGGGTTCAACACAACACAGATTTAGTATAAATTCTATGCTTCAACTAGTTATGTCTAATATTGATACAAACCACCCTATTTTTCACTATAGTTACAATAGTTATTAATTAAATACCTTATTTTGAATTTTACAAAGAAACATTCCAATTTACGCTACATTAATTTTTACAAATTATTTTATTGAATGAATTTTTATTAAGTTCAATTTATTATTAATTAATAATAGAAATTAGACTAACAGAGTTCAGATCATTCTTGTTCTTCGCACTAACGCCATCTGAAATTAATTTACCATACTATTGTGAATAACGTTGATAACGATTGTGAATAACGTAGTTAAACGAGTTGTGTTTTACCATGAGGCAACACTAAGCCTTCTTGTCAATGTCAAATTAGTATTTATAGGTCTATGGTCAAATCATTAAAAAAAAAAAAGAAAAATCAAGCAACAAAAATGATATCAACTCGATCGTAGATTCATTTTAGTACTATTTGTTGTGCGATTACAGCTTTAATGTGTTTTCAAATACTACCAGATTTACCGATGGGAAGTGTTTAGTGCAATTGTATTAATGGCCAAATTACCGAATGGCTGGATTCAGCTGGTAAGTAGCGAAAACAATACAGGCTTGAACTATTGAGATTCAATTGATCAGAATGGGTAATTGTTTTTCTTGCCCACATTGTCTCCCTTGAACTCTCTTAATTGAACAATTTGCCCAATTGAACGGTCAGTGTGTTCAATACTTGTGTGAAGAATTTCGTAATTCATTTGCCTGACCGATTTGGGAATTTTGTATGAATGTCACAACATTACATATTATTTGCCAAATCAGTAAAGAACTTTAATACTGAGGTGCTAAATATGTAATTTCCACACAAATCGAGTTGAGTCATAAAAAATACATAAAATGCGTAGATTAATGTGTTATTAAATAGCTGCAAAAGACGCTCTATACTAAACAATTTTGACCTTGGGTCATTCCAGCAAAAATTACACCGCGGTTCAAAAAAAATTACACAATTTGGTTTTAATTGTATGACTAGAATACGCCAAATAAATCAAATCATTAGAAATAAATGAGATTTTTCGTATATTGTACAATTATTGTATTTTTTGTCTTCATCAAAGGAGCCATAGTGCTGTCGTCAATAGTGAAGCATTTTTTCCTATAATATAACATTAGTAACAATTCTTGCAGTTATTTGTGTTAAGATTATTTTAGGTTGAAACACAAATTAGAAAACATTGAGATTGTCAATCGTTTTATTTGTGCGCACCACTGAGAATTTTGAAATACATATTATTGGTTGCCATGGTGATGGCTCAACACTCCTCCTCAAATTAAAACTAAACATTTGTTTAATTTACTACAAAATCCGCAATTTCGAATTTCAGCAAGTATAATACCTACACAAAATAACTTGTGTGATTTTGTAAAACAGTATATTCAGTATAAAAACAACAACAATTATTTTAAAATACAATTCTCATTTGTTACATATTAAAAACTAAATGAAACAATTATTACACAACATAAAAATCTTTTCTTACTTTCACATACTTATACTGTTCATGTTACTCTCCTCCTAAATGATAACATGTTAAATTGGTACAACATTTGTCATTTACTTAACAACATACAAATTTAACACATAAACCTGTTTATGAAAGTATAAAACTTCTTGACACAAACTTTTCATCATCATGTCAGCCAAGTTTTCTGCAGATGTAATGTATTCAATGTTTATAACATTACTTGCTACTAAATCCTTTAAAAAATGTTCTCATATATCGAGTTCTTAGGTTTTCGCGATTGTTACACATAGGAAATGAAACTATTTTTCCAGATTTAAATCGCGTATATTTGTTTTTCCAAACAAACCGACGTTTCGGGCCCTTTACAGGTCCCATGGTCACGGTTGACTGAGGTGGTACAGTCTTCAACCAGTTATGTCTAATATTGATGCAAACCACCCTATTTTTTCACTATAGTTACAATAGTTATTAATTAAATACCTTATTTTTTATTTTACAAAGAAAACTTTCCAATTTACGCTATATTAAGTTTTACAAATTATTTTATTGAATGAATTTTTATTAAGTTCAATTTATTATTAATTATTAATAGAAATTAGAATAAACTAAAACATATTAATTAGTACTGCAGTCTTATATCTGTTTGGGAATTTTCATTAGAGGAAATACTGGATCCCAAACTGGTGGCGCGGAGAAACCATCTTCCCTGTTGAAATTAGGATGTTTTTTAATTTCAATGGCCTCTCGCAGCATCTTTTGCAAGGATCTGGGGTTTGTCAAACTTCATTGTGTAGGTTTATCCATGACATGCTCGCAGACTGCAGATTTGTTTACGCGACAGTGTTTGACATCAGCTATATGTTCTTTGACGCGGGTACAAATACTTCGCTTTGTTTGTCCAATATAAGAGAGACCGCACTCACAGTCAAGCTTGTAAACTCCTGCATCCTGTAAGGGGATGTTACATTTCACGGGTCTCAGGAACTGAGAAATCTTCCTCAGGAGCTTGTAGTAGGTCTTGATAGATGCGCGCCTGAAGACTCTTCCGATCTTGTCTGTAACATCTCTCACGTAAGGTAAGATGGCAGGTCTTCGCTCGACTGTTGGTGGTTTCACACGGGGCCTGTGGCATTGGCGTGGAATCTTTAACTTATTCACATGTAGGACTTGCTTTATATGTTGAAGTTCCCCTGCCAGATGATTACTGTCGCAGACACCATGTGCTCTCTGAAACAAAGATTTGCCCACGATAGCTAACTGGCTGGGATGGTGATGGACCTTCTTTCTTGGTCTGTATTTTGGTTATTTGGTCTGTATATGTAATGTATTTTGTAGCAGTAGAGCTCCTTGTGAAAGAGTACATCCAGATAAGTGTTGCCACCTTACCTACACACATCAAAAGTGTCTAGGGATCAAGTGAATATTTTTGAAATAAAAATTATTTAAGCAATATTTACCAAATCCAATCTTCCAGGACGACTTCTTACTTTAATGCTTATATTTTATTTAACCGCTTACCCCTATATTTAATAAAAATAAACTAAAATTGATGTTTTTGCAAATTGTGGGAAAAAACTCAAATTAACGGCGTCAATTAAATGACAAAAAAATGGCGAAAATGATGATTTTGCTCATTTTTATTGTAAAGATAAGAAAATTAATAATCTGTATTTCCACCATTAACACGAATCACACAATTACAGCGATTTGGCATGCATAAGATGAGTTCATCAAAATCACTTTGAGGAATGGCCGCCCATGTGTTTTGTAACAAGTCAAAATATTGTTGTAGAGTATGTACGGTATGCATACTCGGCACAGCTCTTCTTTGAAGCATATCCCATGCGTGCTCAATTGGATTGAGGTCTGGCGATTGAGCAGGCCACGGCAGAACGTTGATTCGAGCTTCGGCAAGAATGCGTGTTACGACTCTAGCCGTGTGTGGACGTGCGTTGTCATGCATTAGTTGAAATGAATCACCCAACTGGCCTCGCAAAGGGATGATAACATCTGAAACAATCCTCTCTGCGTAAACTTGAGCATTGAGGTTACCCCTGATCCAAATGAGATCGGTTCTTCCGCCGATCCAAATACCGGCCCATATCATTATTGTTCCCCCACCATATGGATGAACTTCCTGACAATATCTCAAACGTTCATGACGTCCAGATGTTCTCCAAACTCGAGTACGTCTTGTATCCGGTCTCATACCAAAGCGGGATTCATCCGAAAAGTACACATAGCGCCAGTCTTCTTCCTCCCAGTTTCTGTGTTCGCGAGCCCATCGTAAACGGGTCCTGCGATTGCAGGGTGCAATAGGTGGAACTCTGAGCGGCCTTCGGGATCGCAGACCCACTTCACGTAAACGATTTCGGATTGTTTGATCGCTTATTAGCAAGCCTGAGGAGCTGTGGAGCCTCGTAACCAACATCATGGCCGTCATGGTACGATTCCGTCGAGCAGTATTTTGGATATACCGGTCCTGTCTGCGAGTCGTGATGCGAGATCGTCCTCCATGTCGCTCGGCCACGCTGCCCGTCATGCGATAGCGCGTCCAGAGGCGACTTATGACGCTCTGTGTAGTGTTAAGAGTGAAAGCCACAGCACGTTGCCTGGAACCAGCTTCCAACATTCCGACGGCTCGCATCATCACTTCTCGGGTTAAATGATGTCGTCTCTCCATAATAATGTAAATTGTTTCGGTTCCGATGCAGATATTGTAATGATTTTGTCAAAACGCTATAACTCATTTTTATACAAAACCACATTGACAATCGATTTTCTTCTTATTATCGAATTTTAAACAATATTCCTTATTTAAATGTTAAAACTCACTAAAAAGTATCAATAGCGATACAAAAAAGTTAATATAATTAACCCTAATTGCAGCAATACTCTTAAACGTACTTGATCCCTAGACACTTTTGATGTGTGTATTTCTGCCGCCAAGCAGTAATGTGAGCATTACTGTGTTCCGGTTTTTGTAGGGCAAGGGTGCTGGTGAATGTATGTATGTAATGAAATTACAGGCACATGGGACTTGTCAACTTATGTCTCAGCATGATGGGTGCATTGGGAGGATCCCTCAAATTACTGCGATTTAAAGCTCTGAGTGGCACTGCAACTGTTATGGACAGGCGTGTAGCTTACCCTCAGGCGCACGAAATATTCGTACCGTCATTTGATATTATAAAAAAAATAAAAATTGTTCTAGGTAGTGAACAAAGTAAATTCTGTTGCCCTGTAACTTAAGAGCACAAGGAAATTTCCTAGTTTGACATCAGGTATTTTCTGTGGTAGTTTGGCACATTATTATAATTTTTATTATAAAAAGATTTACTTATCGAGTTGTTAGGTTTTCGCTATTGTTACAAATAGGAAATGAAACTATTTTTCCGGATTTAATTATAATAATAATAACGCACACACTCAACATAGCCCCGCACTAGGGAAACCCTGTGTCGCGGGTGCCATGGAAACACACATAGACAACCACAAATTACACCCAAACTCATGAGAGAAATAATTGTAGGCCATACAACTATTTCTCCCGGCCCGGGAATCGAACCTGGGACCTCTGCGTGGCAGTCCGGCATGGTAACCGTTCAGCCACGGAGGCAGTTAACAGTTAATAACTATTGTAACTATAGTGAAAAAATAGGGTGGTTTGCATCAATATTAGACAACTGGTTGAAGACTGTACCACCTCAGTCAACCGTGACCATGGGACCTGTAAAGGGCCCGAAACGTCGGTTTGTTTGAAAAAACAAATATACGCGATTGAAATCCGGAAAAATAATTTCATTTCCTAAATGTACTCTTATGTCATTGTATTTTATTCGTTTAGAGTTTTCATAATTTTTTGCCATAGATATAGCTCCTAAATTATGTACAAGAAGTATAGCATTTTCCTTGCATCCTAAATATTCGCTAATTCCTTTTAAATGAATGAGTTCCTGAGCTACAGACGCCGTCGCAATATATTCCTACTCAGCAGATGATAATGCAACAGATTGCTGTTTCTTGGAAAACCAAGCGATAGGATTTTCTCCTTGTAAAATTATG